AGGTTTTGTCTTCGACTCCACAGCCCTGCGGTTAACGAACGCCTCGGTTAACGAAATTTTCGTTAACGAATTACCTTCCATAAGAATCTTCAACTCGTTTAACGAACAAAAATTCGGTTAACGAAATCCTTACGAAATCGTGTCAACATGTTTTTGCTTGCTCACCAGCTGGAGTATTAGTCTGCCAATACAGTGATCGGTTTTAGGGCTTAAATTCGTTACCAATTGAGTAAATATCAAGAAGGTTGTACTATTCAATCATTTTCCAAGTCTTATATTAAAATTTTTAGTAATTTTAACAATTATTTAACATAATTGAAGTACAGGGAACTACAGTTGACCCTCGTTAAAATGGACCCCTTTAATCCGAATATCGGATAAATCGGCCGAAATCTGAATTAAGCGAGGGACTGTCCGTGTCAAATTTCTGGTTCTGGGATTGTCCGATAGATGGCGCGCGCTCTCCAGACTGCCAGTCATTGTTGACTTAGCGCCATATTCGAGTATCAGTGTTGTGATGCCCTGCAATTTTCGTTTATATTTCAGTGATTAGGCATCTTTCAGCCTTGTATTTTACATCATGTCTTCAAGGGGGAGCAATATGCCAAAGAGGATGTATGTGACCCTTTCTGTGAACCAGAAACTGGAACTTACAAGGAAGTTAGAGGCTGGTGCTTCAGTGACGAGTATGGTGTTAAAAAGCAAACAGTTTCGGACATAAGCAAGGCTCAGGACAAACTCACTGTATTTTCTTTGAAATATAATGTTGATGCAAATTTTAAATCATCATCTGTTGGTGCAAGGAAGCATAGGAGAGTGGCAAAAGATACAAATCTTGAGGAGGCAGTGACGAAGTGGTTTGTGCAGCAACGATCCTGTGGTAATGTCGTCCGTGGTGTAGAAATTCAAGCTGCTGCTGCTAAGCTAGCAAGTCATATGGGCATCGAGAATTTCGAAGCTAGTGACGGTTGGTTATGGTGATTTAGAAATCGCCATGGAATGTGTAATAAAATTACCCATAGTGAAGCTGGTAGCGCACCCACCGAGGACATCGAACCATTCAGGGAGAGGCTAAATGACTTAATTAATAGTGAAGGGCTCCTGATTTCCCAAGTCTATAATGGGGATGAAACTGGGTTGTAATGGCGGTCCCTACCCCGGAATACCCAAGCTTTCAAGAATGAAGATGAGGAAGACGACGAACCATTGCCCAAGAAACCCAAACTCTCTGTTATACGAGAATCCATTGATAATGTCATTTTGTACATTGAATTGTCAGCAGAAACTGATGATGTTCAGCATTACTATCAACATATTAGAGCCTTTAGGGAACTCATTATACAGAAGCAGCATCAGCAAGGTAAACAACTGAAACTCGACTCATTCTTCAAGCCAGTTCATCCCAACCCTGCTGCAGCTGTTAAGCCTGCTGACGATATTGATGACCCTCCTGCTGCTGACTCAGGCCACCCTCAGTCACCTCAGCCTTCTACGAGTGGGGGACAAGGACCAGTGGAGCATCATAGCTCTACTGACTTCGAATGACAAGTTATCACCTCTACCCCCCACCTCCACCACATCAAGCTCATCTGTCATCTACCAAAGGTAAATGAAATTAACAATTTACAGTACAGTGACCCCTCGGTTAACGAACTCAATCCGTTCCAGAAGGTCGTTGGTTAACCGAAACCATTGTTTCAATGGGTTTTTGGGTAATTGGTTCCAGCTCACCGAAAATTGCCTAAATTCAACAAAAAAAGGTAGAAAAGTACACTTACTTTGAGGTGTGTATGTAGAAGGCTCTTGGATGATGATGAAGATGGGAATTAGAATGGGGATTGAGGAGAAAGGAGAAGAGAAGGCATTGGGGTGGAAGAGAAGTCACCCCATGGCACCATTTCACCCATAAAATTTTAGTTCTCTTGGTGTAATTCAAGATTATTTTCTTTAAATCAACACTGCACTGCATTATATATTGTCAATATGTAAAATAAATTTCAAAGTGACCAATAATTTGCTTGGAAACACAGAAAAAAGCGTTTAGTTGAAGAGAGTCTCAAGCAAGATGTTACCTCCAGTGAAAACAGAGAGAGACTAACGCCTGTTTGCTGTGTTAAGAGGCTGGATGCCGCGCATTAAACTAGTCACTTTACCTTCAATTATGTTCAATAATTGTTAAAATGACTAAAAAATTGAATATTAAACTTTTAAAATTATTGAATAGTATAAACTTCTTGATATTTACTAAAATAGTAAGGAATTTAAGCCCTAGAACTGATGAATGTATTGGCGGACTGATATTAAAGCTGGTTGACCGGTCAGTGCAAGCGAAAACATGTTGAGGTTGGTTCGTAAGTAATTCGTTAACCGAATTTTTGTTCGTTAACTGAATTGAAGATCCTTATGGAAGGCAGTTTGTTAACCGAGGCGTTCGTTAAACGAGGGGTCACTGTATTAACTTTTTTATTTTTACATATTGTAATGTTTTATATAGCTAGTTATATGATGTTTACAGTATTTCCTGTGTTTTTGTTACTGTGTATCATGTTCAGCATACAGTGTATGTACGGTACTGTATTTCCTAACCTAACCTAAATCGGTTAATTCGGACAATCAGCTAAAACGGACACTCTTCCCCCCTATTAGTCTGTTTTAACGAGGGTCGACTGTAGTTTTTAGCGCGCCAAATGGCCACTTGACTCACCCAGAATGGCGTCAGTTTGTGTCTCTGCTCAGTGGAGGTAGCATCTTGCTTGAGACTCTCTTGAACATAAACTATTTTTACATTTTTACAGTACAATTATTGGTCATTCTGAAATTTATTTTACATATTGACAATATACAGTATAGTCTCGGTTTACGCGGTCAATTAAACCCGTGGAGGTCCGCATAAAACGAGAAACACGTAAAGGAAATAACAGAACATATGGGATTGATTGAAATAGAGACTGGGCCGACCCCCCAGACTACCCTTTTTCCGACACAATACGTACGTTGTAGTAAAAATAACATCTTAATTTTATGATGGTATGCACACACAATTAATATTTAAGAGAAATATCAATAATATTAGGTTTTTTAACACTTACGTTAGTAGAAGAGATGGCTGGGCACACGGGGATGGGGGGTTGGTTCCGAGGCAGAGGGCACATTATTGGCCCTCACCTGTATCACTATCCACCACAGAGGCTTGCAGGTCCTCTTTGTCAAACCCCTCAAAGTCCATATCCTCACTATCACTGACTTGGGCTGGCTGTGGTGGGTGGCGGGTGAAGAACTCGGTAATGTTTTGTTGACTGGGCGGCCTAGTGCGCACCCTGCCCGTCCCGCTTCACGCGTAAATGATGGAATGTACTGCGTAACTAATAATTGCCGGTCTGGCCAGGTGCCGCGTAAATGACCAAATGCGTAAAGGAAATCTGCGTAAATCGAAACTATACTGCAGTGTTGATTTAAAGAAAATAATCTTAAATTACACCAAGTGAACTTAAAATTTTATTGGTGAAATGGCAGCATGAAGCATGGGGTGACTTCTCTTCCACCCCCACTGCCTTCTCTTCTCCCTTCTTCTCCACCCCCACTTCTAATTACCATCATCATCATCATCAACCAGGAGTCTTCTACATGCACACCTCAAGGTAAGTGCACTTTACTGCATTTATTTTTAATTTGTATGTAATATTCGGTGAGCTGGAACCAATTACCCAAAATCCCATTGAAACAATGGTTTCGGTTAACAAAATTTTTTGTTAATGAACGACCTTCTGGAACGAATTGTGTTCGTTAACCGAGGGACCACTGTATACACAATAAGGTCAGAACTTGGCGAAAGGAATTGGTACATACAGTAGAAGATCTCACTGAAACATTTAAAATTTTTGACCGGTCAGGTTAACATGAACATGGACCATTTGTTTGTGATATCACACACGAGAGGATGTAACTACCCAGTTAATAAAACTTTATACAGTAATTAGAACTTTAATGCAATGTTTTTACTTAGGCCAAACTTTCTTTGAACTAACTTTTTATTAAACTTAGATAAAATATTCCAACAAAGTTCCAGAAATGTGACAGAAAACTTATTAAAATATCGATAACCTAACATAACCATTAATATAATATTCACCTAACACATCCTTAACCTATCATAACCTTAATCCACCTTACCTGATATTCCCTTAACTTACCCTTATATTAATATTTAACAAGTTGTAACATTAACAGAATATAAAGTTAACCTAACATAACCTTAACCTAACCTTATTTTAACATTTTGCATAATATAATGTTAACATAATATAACCTTAACATAACATTAATATAATGTAACCTTTGACATGACCATAACCATACCTAACCAATTACAGTACAGTACAGTGGGGTATGCTATAACGAACGGATCCTACTACAAATATTCCTATAACGAACGGATCCTACTACGAATATTCCTATAACGAACGGTTTTACCTATAAAATTGAGAATGCTATAACGAACGAAACTCCTATAACGAACATTATTTAAATTTTTTTTTTTCTTTTCTTTTTACTAATTTATTGTTTTTTATTACAAGTATTAATGATATTGGTTATTTCAGGGGTTTAGATGCATATTTATGCACTTTTTTACAATTTTTACAATTTTATATTATATTTTTCAGTGTTAAGTGGTTGTATTTGGGGGCCTGGAACAGATTAATCCTATAACGAACAAGGTTCTAGAACCAATTAGATTCGTTATAGCATACCCCACTGTGTATGGTTACTTCACGATTAAATAATGTTATGGCAAAGGTCAACACTTTTACTATTAATTGTACTTATGTTACTGTCTAAGGGAAATGATTTGTGAACAGTTACTCCATCTTGTTACAAAAAAAATTAAACATCGGTGATTTTTAACAGTATTTAGTTTCACACATTATGTAAGGAGTCATCTGTAACAAATAGAGTACAATTCAATATTTATTTCTCCATGCTAAAATAACCAAACTCTTTAGGCCACAGGGAACCGTGTGAGTCGTGGTAGTGTGCTATGCGGCTCTCAGAACATTGTTCTGAGTGGAAAAGTCATTGTACTTAGTGGTGTCATCATCCGGGGGGATTTAGCCAACGTTCGAGTTGGCCGCCACTGCGTTATATCATCCAAATCTGTCATTAGACCACCATTTAAGAAATTCAGCAAAGGGTAAGTTACCATCTTACAGGTAATGTGTACGTACAGTAGAATACTGTACAGTAGAAGTCCAAAAATCCGGACTGCTTGGGGATTGGGTCGGTCCGGATTTTCGGATTTTCCGGATTCTCAGGCAGTACTTTTAAAATTCAAATTTAAGGAAGAAAAAAGAAGAGATGAACAGGTACATTTTGATAGTTTATTCATTAGCAAATATAGCATGCTTCATTTATCAAAATGAGCAGTTTTAATGAAAAAGCTGTGAATTCTAAATTTTATTCTTTGCCTTTTATATATCATAAATTGTAGACTTTCCAATGTCGTATGTTTCCATTAGAACTGTATTGCTCACACCACGTTCTAGTTTCTTAATTATTTCAAGTTTGTCACTCAATTTCAACATGTTCTTCTTTCTCTTCACACAACGAAGTTTATCTACTTTAGGAGCCATTATTATGGGCTTGTACAGTAATCTGTAAATGGAAAGAGTAGGACTCAAAATATTGTTATATTACAATGGTATTCTATTCATAATGTGCTTGATATAATGCATTCACGGAAATGTAATATTTTTGCTGAACGTACGTATTACAGTGGAAAGTGGGATAAAATCGTGACGAAAACAATGACTTTCGCTTTCTTTCGTTCAAAAGATGTTACCGTAATCGCTTTTCGAATGGTTTTCAGTTCAAAAACTGTTGTATTACAATAATATTTTATCCTAATTGACTTGAATAAATACTACGATACCATATTTCTGAATATTTTCATTAAATCCATCAAAATCATTTTCCTTGTCATCGTCTGCAGCACCAAACAGCTTCTCCCAGCCCTCTCTTTGAACAGGGCTAGAGGGTACGTGTTTTTCGAATCGTTGTCTGTTAAAAAACTATTACATCACACGTATATTTTACCTAAACTGCGCCTGAATGAATATATTCTCGGAAATAAATAGTAGTTTTGCGGAAACGTGACGTATTTCAATGTAAAATAGGATAAAATACATGACGAAAACAAAAGACTTTACCTAAGCTTCCGATGTTCTTGAGATGTTACTCGTTTTTTTAATAGTTTTCGGTTAAAATTCTGTTATATTACAATGATATTCTATTCATACTGTGCTTGATATAATACATTCATGGAAATGTAATATTTTTCCTGAAATTACATACGTATTACAGTAGAAAGTGGGATAAAATCGTGACGAAAACAATGACTTTCGCTTTCTTTCGTTCAAAAGATGTTACCGTAATCGCTTTTCGAATGATTTAGTTAAAAAACTATTGTATTTCAATAATATTCCCTCCTAATTGACTTGAATAAATACTTGAATGGAAATATACAATATTTTTGTTGAAACTACCCGCATTTCAGTGTAGGTAGTTCTGCTATAACGCGATAGTAGTGTTCTTGTAAAACATCGTGTTATAGAAATTCGTGTAATAGAAATAACAGGGCTTATGGAGAAAATAGGGTTAGGTGCAGATTACTCCAAATCGAAAAAAAATTTCGTAGTTAGCCTAACACAAAGGATAGCACAGTCTAAATAAATGTTACATTCATATCTAATAATGAAATCATACAGTAAATGTTACACTTTACCTTGAAAAAATATGAATATAACTTGATGGGGGAGAAGGGTGATGTTGAGGCTGAGGAGTCATGAAACATCAAGCTTTTCTTCAAGTGTTATAGCCTTTCTTTTACGATCACCACCGGAAATGCGATCACCAGAGTGCTTCCCAGAGATATTCTTCTTTTCCATAGTCACAAAATTGGAGAAACAGTAATCAGAATTCACTGAGGACACTTAAAAACTTCACACGTGTTTCAAACAAAGTGTGGAGTAAACAGAGCGCTCGGGTCTAAAACGCTATGTATTTTGTTTTTCTCTTATTTAAAAGTTTACATTTTACATATACTGTACAGGTATACTGTATACATAAATATTACATAAATTATTTCTGCAATTCTTCACAAACAAAACACATAAATCAATTGAACATGTGATGTCGAACGTGAACTGTAAACACTGCATAACCCCGCACCAAGCCACAATGTACAGTACACTTTAAACGCTACTTATTTTGTTTTTCTCTCTTATTTAAAATTTTACAATTTACATATACTGTACAGGTATTTCTTCACAAACAAAACACATAAATCAATTGAACAAGTGATGTCGAACGTGAACTGTAAACATTGAGCCAAGCCACAACACTGTACAGTACACTTTAACACTTTAAACGCTACGTATTTAGTTTTTCTCTTTTCTTTAAATTTTTACAAAATATATATATATATATATATATATATATATATATATATATATATATATATATATATATATATATATATATATATATATATATATATATATATATATATATATATATATATATATATATAACATATCAGTTTTGAACTGACCATCATAAATTTATTTGTCAGTGGCCCAAGGTTAAAAATGCTTTGAAAACCTTTGATCTTGATGTATGATAGTTATTTTGTGGGTCCCTTTTTTCTGACCTGACCTGTCTAGTCACGTCACCACCCTTCTCTTAAGCTCCTCTACGTGTGTGTTGGTGTGCGGATTAGTGGATGTCATCATTATGACCTGACCTTATATTTTTAGGTCACCCTGTATATTTAAGCCTCTCTCTGTCCATGTAACCCAGTTGCCTCTGAAGATGTCTTGAATAAAGACGAAAGCTAAGGTACTCCGTTGTTTCCATTTTCCCGTGTGATTTTATCAAGATATATATATATATATATATATATATATATATATATATATATATATATATATATATATATATATATATATATATATATATATATATATATATATATAAATTGTAATTTACATATTATTCATATTATGCTAGAGCGCCCACAAAACATGAGAAACGTTTGAGTCCCCCAGTAGAGATGTCCGTTCTCTATCCACTCCAGGATGTCCGTTTTCTTTTTGTGTACTCGCTCAGGGACTCAAGTATTTCTGTATATGACACAGGATGATAAGGGAATTTGAATTTATTTGTTTATTTATTTATATATAATATACTGTAATATATTAAATATACTGCAAGTATTTTCTTTAATTTATATACGTGTTTCGCGAAAAAGGGAGGCTACATTTATGGTGATCGTTAAGGACCAAACTCCGAATCCATGACGTGACTTCTGTTCATTATTTATATCCTAAATTTACCACTGTCGGCAGTTTCAAGAATTAATGCAGTCATTTACTGAATATTCTTTGCAAAAAAATAAATTTTAAATGAATTATTTATAAGAGATAAGTATTATGATCAGTAAATATACAGAGATGCATTACTGACCACCTCCGAACACAAGGATGGCTAAAAATAGCCACAGGCGGTCACAGTCAAGGTCACTTTCCCTTTCTTGTCACTGGCAAATGGGGGAGGGGGGGATGATAATAGCAGCTGTGTTTATTACGGTATGTTAGACTGGTTTATAATACATTTTTATTATTTTAATATACCGGTAATCTTCATTTTAATCCAGCTTACCAAACGTAAGTTTCAGTATAAAATAATTAGTGGTACTGTAGGACCTTGTGAGTGGTTTACTGTATACATAAATATTACATAAATTATTTCTGCAATTCTTCACAAACAAAACACATAAATCAATTGAATATGTGATGTCGAACGTGAACTGTAAACACTGTGTGTGATGTAGAGAGAGCGCGGGTGTAAAACGCTATGTAATTTGATTTTCTCTTTTATGTAAAATTTTACAATTTACTTATAATATATAGGTATACTGTATACATAAATATTACATACATTATTTCTGCAATTGTTCACAAACAAAACACATAACTCAATTGAACATGTGATGTCGAACGTGAACTGAAGCCACAACAACCGTTCGAGTGGAATCGCGTTAGAGCAAACGAGTTCGCGTTTTACAAATATCGTTCCTCAATTCATAAATCGCGTTCGAGCAAATTCGCGTTGTCAAAACACGCGTTATAGCAGAACTCACTGTAAAGTGTCGTAATAATAAATGGTAAACAATTTGCCTTCAGCACTTGTGTTTCATGCACGGCTAGCCTCAGTAGAGCGTTTTTACCGAAGGTTTTGTTGTTCCATTACCCTCAAAAACGTGGGTCGAACTATAAACGAGGAATATTATAAATTAACGATTTCTTGGTCAAAAAATCAGGGTCGACTGATAAACGAGGGGGGTTATAGACGAGTATATAAGGTATGTTGTCACAGTTTGATTGCTCGTTTTAAAGTGGCGACCACGTGGTCGCTTGTTGTCGCTGTGCAGCTGTGGCACTCACGCATGCACACATACACACAAAAGCCCGCTAAAAAAAAAAATCGTTTTTGAAAAGTCCGGATTTCTGGCATCCGGATTTTTGGACTTTTACTGTATAATGAAATACTGAACAGTCCAGTATAAAGATAATCATTCAGAGTTTCTTCACAGCATAATTTTACTTACAGAAAATTTCCAAATACTGCAATTGATATTTTATATTTTTTCACAGGGTGGCGTTCTTTCCTCTTCATATTGGTGATCACGTGTTTATTGGTGAAGGATCAATTGTCAATGCTGCAGTGGTAGGCTCCTATGTTTACATTGGGAAGAACTGTGTTATTGTAAGTACTGTACAGTATTTTATTAATCCCAGTGTGCAATTTTTTTTCCTCTATTAATGCACTGTTATCCACAAGTGGTTTACTGAGAACTTTTTACAGTTGAAACTCACCATATTATGTGCTCTAAATTTGGACAGCTCTAATACTGTACTGCATATACATGGTAGAATCCATTTAGGTCATGAGAATAAGTTTCTGCACTCCTCATGATTTAGCTGATTGACCAAGATTAATTACATTCAACAAGACTCTTTTCCCATTTTTTAGAGTAACTTTATTTATATTTACACTGTAAGACTGGTACAGTACAGGGAAGTTGTGATAATTCATGGGTTAGGTACCAGAAAACATCGCAAATTGTAATATTGTGAATTGTAGTTTAATTGATTTATATAGAAATAGGTTCTGGAGTGTGTTAGGTAAAATAAAACAAACACTCGTTAAGTGAATTTTTGTACTGTCGTATATCGAATAGAAAAACATGGGAAAAAGAGGGTCTGGCTCCCCAATGACACAAATGCCCCAAAATTATACCTCCAAAACATGAAATAGGTTCACAAACAAGAAAAACCTACCTAACCAATGATAAATAGTACACAACTACTGTGCTGTAATTTACCACCAAACAAATTAAAAACAGTCACAAAATACTAGATGCATCGTAAGGGGGTCGCATAAAGGTCATGGGTCGATGGGGCCCCATAGAGCTCATAGTCCAGGGGGGCGCCGGTGGGTAGAGCGGTACCTCTCTTGCCTCGCAAGCGAGATGTCACGGATTCAATTCCCGGGCCGGTGGAAGTTGTTCGGACACACTTCCCAGCCTCCCTTGGTCCCTGTTCACCTAGCAGCAAAGTAGGTACCTGCTGTAAATTGAAAGTTGCGAATTCTTATTCAGGGAAAGTTGTTGGAGCTTCCAGTAACTTGCTTAGACATAAACCATTGACTCTTCAGGCTTCTATGCCCTTGACTCTTCAGGCTTCTACTCCCTTAACTCATGAGACATAAAGGCAAGCATGAACTTAGCATGCTTCCCTGTTGGGCGCTGTAAACGCTTCAGCGCTTCACCTTACACAAGGATGTAGGAGGGTGCCCAATAAAAAAAAAAAAAAAATAGTTTAGGTGTCAAGGACTGAAGTATGTGGCTGACAGGCGTTGTCTCGTTAAGCCCAAACCATAAATTATGGTCAAGGAAATAATGCAGTTACTCTCCTTGTGTCAAGTCAGGTCAGTCCAGGGAAGGCGAATGCTGATGACACGTTACGCAGCAGAAGATCCACACTCCTCCTTTGAACTGTTCTCAGCTCAGTTTGCTCTGTACAGTACTTCCCATGGATGCAAACAAAGGACAGCAAACTTCAATGATAGATTTCCTGTGTTGCTTACCGAGCCTCTGGATTTTATTCAGTTTCTGTTCAAGACATGTAAAACAGTGTGGCTCTTTTGTCCTCGAAATAGCAGAATTACTGGCTGACAATGAGGCAAGTGTGAATTTTGCCATCTATGACGACATATCAATGTTTTGGGTTATTTATCAAATTGACATTCAGCGGATAAAATCAAGCTATCAATGTTCTGATACAATTTGGAAGCTCCTATGTCTGTGAGGCAGCTTTCCCGCTAATGGTGTTTATAGAAAATGATTACCGTAACCGTATATCGAACTTAAACTTAGAAAATTGTGTGCTATGTTGTTTAATCACATAATTATACCCCTAGTTAACAGAAAATTAATTGTATGATGATGCGCACATGTCACATATGAAATACGTACAGTATGACAGAGTTGTAACTAAGAAAATTGTATGTTGTGCTGTTTAACCATGTAATTGTACCCCCAGGTATATAACATTAAATAATGATATAAACATGTCACCTATTAAACATACAGAGTTGTAGCCTTTTTATGCCAGTATTTACTTCTCATTTATATTATGCATTTTCCTTACTTCTTTTTACAGTTAAACACGTACAGTAAAGCCTCGAATAACGACGTTAATGTGTCCTCCAATATTGCAGTGCAAGGTGAATCGTCTTATCGCGAATCATTAATTGCCATTAAAATCAAGCAATAATTATGAGATGCATTTCCAAGTGTGACCTTTTCATATCTTTTGTGTGGCTTTTTACCCTCTTTTCCCCCCAAAACAATACAATTACAGAAATGAAAATTGCAAACTATATTCTTTAAATAATGTTTCTGAATGCGCCTTATGCAATATAAATGAATAATAATATGGTCACACAAGAGGAGATGGGACGCCATTGTTTTTGTTTGTGTTTACAGCCGGGAGTCCGGGACGATAGTTTTACACGAGAAAATGAAGAAAATAAGACCCTGGCTGTAGCTGTTGTAAAATTAATGTAAAAAAATGAATATACTGTATATGTTTTAAGTAATTTTATTTAATGTTAATAAATGGAACAATAGAAATAACTAACCACTAATGGTAAAGAAAAAAGGTGAGATGGATTGGGAATGCCAATGTATACCTGTAATGAGAAAAGAAAGCAGCTGTGCAAGGTTCTTTCAACAGCTTTATTATTTGAAGGCCTAAACCATCAACTTCAGCTACACCATCAAATTCAGCATCATAAGCAGCTTCACCACCAACTTTAGGTTCAGTAACAGGTTCAGCAACAGCTTTAGCTTTATGGAAAGCTACAGCTTCAGCCAGAGTTGAACCTACAGCTTCAGCCAGAGTTGAACCTACAGCTTCAGCCAGAGTTGAACCTACAGCTTCAGCCAGAGTTGAACCTACAGCTTCAGCCAGAGTTGAACCTACAGCTTCAGCCATAGTTGAACCTACAGCTTCAGCCAGAGTTGAACCTACAGCTTCAGCCAGAGTTGAACCTACAGCTTCAGCCAGAGTTGAACCTACAGCTTCAGCCAGAGTTGAACCTACAGCTTCAGCCAGAGTTGAACCTACAGCATCAGCCAGAGTTGAACCTACAGCTTCAGCCAGAGTTGAACCTACAACTTCAGCCAGAGTTGAACCTACAGCTTCAGCCAGAGTTGAACCTACAGCTTCAGCCAGAGTTGAACCTACAGCTTCAGCCAGAGTTGAACCTACAGCTTCAGCCAGAGTTGAACCTACAGCTTCAGCCAGAGTTGAACCTACAGCTTCAGCCAAAGTTGAACCTGAAGACTTTGTCATCTGAGTAAAAACTCGCACAATATTCATTGGCTGTCCTTATGTTTTAGACTTTACCACCATTGGCGAGTAGAATTTTTGTTTTACATTCGTAAATATTATTTAAAACATATATGAACAGTAAATAAGTGTTGCTTTCATATTCATGTGTAGAGAAATGACGATATTGAAGGTTCCAAGTGTTCCCTGAAGAATGCAGTGATGGGTAGGGAAACACCGGGTAACACTGAAGTCCGTTTATTCGGATAGGAGAAATACAGGTGGTGACTAGCGTGTGCCATGCACGGCTCACACAGTCAGACTGAGACTGCCTTGCCATATGGCAGCCTCGGGGCAATGTTGCCACGTAATTATATACATAGATGCTACTCGGCACAGTAGCTTATATACAAGGTTGCTACTCGGCACAGTAGCATAGATACATAACCTACAGATATGTTTTTACATGTATGCACTTACTGTTCATACGTTGGCGTTCCCAATCGTCTCGCTTTATTTCATTACCATTAGTGGTTAGCTTCTTCTATTGTTCCATTTATTAACATTTAATAATGTTATTTAAAACATATATATTAATTTTTTTACATTAAATTCACTACAGCTATAACCAGGGTCTTATTTTCTTCATTTTCTCGTGTAGAACTATTGTTCCGGACTCCCGGCTGTAAACACAAACAAAAACAATGGCGTCCCATCTCCTCTTGTGTGACCATATTATTATTCATTTATATAGTATAAGGTGCATTCAGGAACATTATTTAATGAATATAGTTTGTAATTTTCATTAATTGTATTGTTTTGGGGGGAAAAGAGGGTAAAAAGCCTCACAAAAGATATGAAAAGATCACACTTGGGAACACATCTCATTATTATTGCTTTATTTTAATGGTAATTAATGATTGGCGATACGATATTTCACCTTACACTGCAATATTGGAGGGCACATTACCGTCATTATTCGAGGCTTTACTGTACTGTACTGACTAGACATGTAAAAAAAAAATGACTTCAGATCATTCTTTGGTGTGAATATATCCCAGTGCTCAGTTTTTGTCTCTGGTTTTACATTTCACTTTTGACTGATTATAAAGTTTCCCACTTATCAAATTAAAACTGTACTATTCACGTACGATTTTTTTTTTCAGGGCAGAAGGTGTGTGCTAAAAGATTGCTGCATGATTGCTGATGATACTGTTCTTCCTCCGGAAACTGTTGTCCCTCCATTTGCTGTATACTCTGGGTCACCAGCAAGACATACTGGAGATTTACCAGAAGCTACCCAAGATCTTATGACTGACTACACCAAGTCTTGTTACCACCATTTCATAAGGGTCAAGGATATGCCTCCACAGGCCAGAGAGGGAACCACAAAACTTATTGATATTTAATAAATTTATTGTTTTGTGCCTCAGGTCACAAGACAGGGTACAGTACAGTACAGTAGATCTTTGCCATTTGTGGGTTTGCGATTCGTGATTTTGGCGATTCGTGGTAAGCAGATGGTGGCTAGCTTGCGAGCCTCTCCCGCAGTGCAACGGGCCACCCCTGCGCACCCGCAGCGTTTCTTCTTCATTGCTTGCACTCAACCATTGCCTGCGACGCAGCATCTCTTGTGTTGTGGTTCAAAACTTTAGTGTTTCTATGTGAAATGGCCCATAAAAGACTGCCTAGTGTCAGTACTCGTGATGCTAGTGCAGTGAAACGTAAAAGGCGGAAGTCAGTGATGACTCTAACAAAGAATGTTGAATTATTAGATAAGTTAAAAGAGGGAATGAGTACTGTCGCGGCTGGTCGGTTGTTTGGTATAGGTATGCAGTAGTTCACTAAGGTATTAAAATTTCCTATTCGCGGTTTTGCCTATTTGCACCATTCCTTGGAACCTAACCCCCTCGAATAACTTAGATTCCAGCAAGAGAATGAGACAAGTCCAACAGTTACTGTAGATAATCTTTTTAAAGCTTTAAATCATAATCTTGCTTTATATTTGCTTTCCATTTTTAAAGGGGGGTGAAATAATTTCATAGCTTAATCATACAAATATTTGAGAAAATATACTACACTTAATGAAGCCACCAATAATACAAGAAAATGCTGTCTCTGAAATACTGTATATTCATCGTAAATAAATCAATAATGACTGAAGATTGTTTTTGTATATTTTATGAGATACTGCATTGTGATTTAAATGGTCATACCCATTGTTGTGGATTTTCAGATTGTTGAATTTCTCCCTTATGGATTTTGTAAATTGTGACCACTAAATCTGGGATGAGGCATGAAAAGGGAATAATAAAATTTGTGTGTGAATTTTCTTAAAACACATTTAATACTGTAGTGTTCTTCATACCAGTACAATACAGTCCTGTACAGTTCTGTACTGTACTCACTATGTCTCATGTGAACTTTCATTCTATTCAGTACTGTATTTACATTTATAGTGGTCCCTCGGTTAACAAACACAATTCATTCCAGAAGGTCGTTCGTTAACTGAATCCATTGTTTCAATGGGATATTGGGTAATTGGTTCCAGCTCACCGAAAAGTACATACAAAGTAAAAAAATGCAGTAAAGTACACTTACTTTGAGGTGTGTATGTAGAAGGTTCCTGGTTGATGATGATGATGGGAATAAGAAGTGAGGGTGAAGGAGAAGGGAGAAGAGAAGGAAGTGGGGATGGAGGAGAAATTACCTTTCAGGGTACCGTATATCTCGGCTTATAAGACGGAATTTGAACATTAAAAAAATCTGCCCAAAGTTAGGGGGTCGTCTAAACCACCAAGTATAAAATTCTTACCTCTTAATTATTGTGGTTTAGTGTGTTAAGAGTGGTGATGGAAACATCGTAAGCCACTCACAAGGTCTTACCACTAATTATTTTATACTGAAACTTACGTTTGGGAAGCTGGATTCAAATTAAGATTACCGGTATATTAAAATAATAAAAATGTATTATAAACCTGTCTAACATACCGTAAAAGAGAATTATACCCCTGTAATAAACACAGCTATCATCACACACCCCTCCCCACGCCCCCCCCATTTGCCAGTGAGGAGACAAGAAAGGAAAAGTGACCGCGAGATTGGGCTATTTTTAGCCGTGGAGGTGGTCAGTAATGCATATCGGTATATTTACTGATAATAATACTTCTCCTATAAATAATTAATTTAAAATTTATTTTTTTACAAGGAATATTCAGTAAATGACTGCATTAATTCTTGAAACTACTGACAGTTAAATACAGACGCTTAAGTGACATCACTAGTGTTTACACTACACCAGCTGGTAACATTTGATGCCATTACTTGAAGTGAATTGGCCTTATTTTAAGTAACTAACCATAAATAAACACAAAAAGTAAAAAAAAGATCAAAAGTGAGAAATAATATACTGTATGTATGTTGTGTTGTCAAAGTTAGAGGAACAATTCAAACTGCAATTGTGTGTAAATGAGGCAGAAAGTCAGGTCAGCGCTGAACCTGGGACTTGGTCACAATTTTCGTGATGCCATATGGCAGCACGGTCTACCATTAGACAACACATTATGCTTCCAATATCTTCCCAGGCGGTAGTATCTACCTGTTTGGTAGCTGCCTCCTACCTACACAATTTTTAGTAATATTACTTTGATACATGATAAATTAGACAATGAAAATAAACATCAAATTTAATTACCAAGACGCTTCCCATTGGCAGCTGTAAGAAGAGGGGGAGATGGGCTATTTATAGCCCGTCTTTGTGTCTGAAGTGACCAGTACCCTAATGCACCATAAATAATTCATTTAACATTTATTTTTTGTACATATATTTAGTTATATCTATCTATCTATCTATCTATCTATCTATCTATCTATCTATCTATCTATCTATCTATCTATCTATCTATCTATCTATATATATATATATATATATATATATATATATATATATATATATATATATATATATATATATATATATATATATATATATATATATATATATATATATATATATATATATATATATATATATATATATATATATATATATATATATATATATATATATTATGTGTGTGTAAAGGCTATGCAAGGCAAGGGCAAGGTGCCACGTAAATGACCAAACTCGTAAACCAAATCCGCGTAAATCAAGACTATACTGTACTGCATATATTATCAATATGTTAAATAAATGTTAAAATGACTAATAATTTTAATATAAAACATGCTAAAATATTAAAGAGCACAACTTTATTGATATTTACTCCATTGGAAACGAATATAAACATAGAACAGATTACTGAATTGGCAGATTAGCCCAGCAGCTCATCAGCTGATGCTCACAATAAAACTTGATTTCCGTAAGGATTTCGTTTATCAAATTTTTGTTCGTTACCGAATTGAAGATTCTTATGGGAGGTAATTCGTTAACCAAAATTTCGTTAACCGAACCGTTTGTTAACCGAGGGACCACTGTATTAAGTTGAGAGCTGTGTAGTGTTAAAGATATCTGGAAGAAGGTAATCATATTCAAGTATTAGCAGTTGTGCTGAAAAACTTAGCTAAATTCATTCTACAATTTTTTTATGGGGAAATAGCCCACTTGGGCACAGGTCGTTGACCCACAATTGGGGGGGGGGTATAGGAGTAAAAAAAAATTTAAATTAGCGGAGAAAAAGAGTATACGTAGTATGTTAATCTACACCACAAAGATGCCAGAAATCCAGCTTTTTGAAGTAAGACAGATTGTAAGTTTCTGGAAACAGAAGAAGGCAGAGCATTCCACAGTTTGACTGTGATCGACATCCATACAGAACTGGTGGGTACCGCAGGGCAAGAGGAGTGCTACGAGCCCACGGCCTTCCCAGTGGTACACGGGATGTCAAATCCACTGAACATTACCCATTAAAGTACCTGTAAAAGAGAGAGAGTGAAGCAACATTGCGGCAAAGAGAAAGGGAAGATATATTTTTGACTAAAGGAGAAGAGTTAAAAAGATGAAATGCCTTTGATTCCACCCTACCTAACAGTTTGCCAGAAGAAGAACCAACCCAGATATGAGAACAGTACTCCAAGTTAGGACGCATGAATCCTTTATAAACTTTAAGCAACTGCTCAGGTGTGAAGTAGCTACGGCAACTTTCCAGGTACAACATTCCAACTTTTGGGAGGCAGCTTTAGCAATGTTGTGAATGTGTGGCTTCCACGACAAATTAAGAGGAAATGGTGAGGCTTAATGTGTATATTTTTTCATTTTGCAAAATTATTGCATCCAGAAATGTGATTGGTGGGAGATCTTCTAATTTGGAAAGTGTTATTGGTAAATACAGGTGCTCCCCGACTTACGACGGGGTTAGGAACCCAAATCCAGGTCGTAAGTCCGACATAGATAAAAAAATTAAATAAAAAATTAAAAAAAATTTTCTTCAAAAAACAAAACAAAATCCACAGTGAAATACAGTACAGTAAAAGTAATCAATAATGAGGAATGGATACAGTACAGTAAAAGTAATAAATAATGAGGAATGGATACAGTGTGACTGAGCACTTACCTTTAATCTAGTCAGCTGAATGCACACGGGGCCCTCGTAATTTTCTATTTACAGGATACATGGAGACTATATTAATTGGATGAAGCAAAGGAGGAAATACGGCTGGGTGGGATCATCAATGTCGCTTTCTTCAGACAGGCTTATGTACTGTGGAAACTTGCTGGTTGAAGGTATTGGATCATCTTGAGGGAGTGAAGAGGCAGCACTGGTGGGGCGTGAGGAGACCGCACTAGGGGACTTCTTAAAATAGATGTCCAATTTAGACTGCACAGTTTTTTTTTTCTTTACAGTATAAATTTCTCTGTAGCAAGCACGTGCATCTTGGATCATTCTGTCAACTTTGGCATAACGCTCATAATTTTGATCCATGCCATCAAACATTTGCATTCCTTTATTAATTGTAGCAAATGTTGTCTCTTCTTCTGCAATTTTCTGTGCGTCTAGTTCAATAAGATCCTCGTTACTGAGCTCTTCTGCTACACTTTCAACCAACTGTTTAACATCTTCATTATCAATTTCTAACTCCAGCTGTTTACCTAACTCCACTATCTTGTTACTAATATCCGAAATAACTTCATTTTCATTAAATCCTTTGAAACTGTATGTCCGCTCAGGCATGCGCTTCCACAATAATCCAGTCTCATCCACAAATAATTCCCTTCCACAATCACTTCATCTAACTCCTCCTCAAAAGCTTTGGCAGCACCAACATCGGCACTAGCTGCCTCTCCACTCACCTTAACATTGTGTAGACTGTAGCGTTTTTTAAATCTATCAAACCACCCATGACTTCCTGTAAAGGTTAGATCACATTCATCTCCTGCCTGCTCCTTCAGGCTTTGGAACAGGCTTCTTGCTTTAGCCTGTTTGAATAGAAGGCTTAAGGGTACACGCTTCTGTATCTGGTCTTCTATCCATATCACCAATAACTTTTCCATATCGTGAATAGATCCTTGTCTTTTCTTTGAAATTATATTTCCCTTTTTTGGTGATGTTCCTTTCACTACATCACGAATACGTTCCTTGTCCTTCAGAATAGTGGATATAGTCGAGTGTGAGAAACCTAGGTCGCGTGAGATTGTTGCTACTGTTTTACCATTCTCATGCTGCATTATTATCTTCATTTTCATCTCAAAAGTAATTGCCTGTCTCCTTTTCTTTGGAGCACCACCAGCACTCTCACTTGTACGCTTTCCAGTCATTATAAAGTCAATTAAATACGATAATAACGAAAGTTCACTGCGCAATTAGTATTGGATATGATAGCCAAACACCAACGAATAATAATAATAATAATAATAATAATAATAATTAACGGTTTATTGAAAAAATTCTGCAGCCCGAAGGCTGAAAATATACATTGGACATAAATGACTTATTACATACATTGGTGGTTTAACAAAAGCCTTCATTAGAGAAAGGTAAAGGAACATACAGTGAACATACAGATTAATGTAGGTGTTGAACAGCAAACTCGTAGTGTAGCAACTCCCTCCCAGATGGTGTTAGGAGGAACTCACGTGGTGTAGTAGTTCCCTCAGATGTTGTTATGAGGGACCTGGCATGGTGTAGTAATTCCCTCGCAGATGGTGTTATGAGGGGCCTCAC